GAAAATGCGTTTATTTCAGTTTGTGTATTTTCTTCTGAGCGCGGGCGTAACGCCAAATATCAGCCGTTTCTAGGCCTCTTTTAAGCACTCAAGCAGCAAAATTTCAGCGTTATTTACTTAAATTTAAACAAAAAATTCAAAATAATGATGCAAAGAGAGAAAAAAATAAGCCCAGCTAGCGACGTACTTGCTGGTGCGATCAAACGTTTTTGAATGACTCCATCCTCTAGAACGATCGCCTCTGTTATTAGGATGTGACTGCTGTGTTGCAATTTTAAAATTTTGTGTGCTTGTACACAAAGCCCATGTCTAGGTAGAATCTCATCTTGCGCTTGTCGGCCACACATTAACTGCAAACATCCCCAGAAAAATACTGCTTCCTGCTCAGTCTGATTAACGAATTAATTGGGTGCCAGCAGTGTCGGGAACTAAATATTCACTTGCATACGTGCTAGATGTGCTTTAAACCCTAATTCTGAAATATTTCGCACATGGCAAAAAATATCTTCGTAACTTTCAACTTCCTAGCTTGGCCGGTGTACAAAATCTTTTCTTGCGTCAGATATCTTTAACGTGTCAAAACGCGCGATACAAGCGCCGCTAAAGTTCATTTTAAGGTTAAGTACCCACATATGGAAAACAAATATTCTCATAAAGTTAGAGTACTCTAAACAGCTTAGTCCCCAAATTAACGTTTTGCTAGCAATGGCGAAACTCAACTCTGAAGTGTTTCTTTCACGTGACGTAGGCACACGTTTGAGGAGTAATTGAAATCTTTAACTCATAGTTATTTAGAATATTCCTGTGAAATTTCAGTTTCCTAACTGCCGTGACTTCAGGTAACGCTTTCCTGCCAAAAAATCTGCATGAATCCTTTGGGCATTCATACGCGAGACACAGATTACTAGCAGTTTGATTTTACGCTTTTTGGATGGCGCTTGGACTAGGAACATCCTTGTGAAATTCCAACCTCCTAACTTCACCAGTCGTTGAGTTAAGCGTGGCTAACAACAATTCGGGCTATATGTATATATACCTTTTCTACAATACGCGTTTTTGCAGCCACATAAAAATAGAACCCGGGCTCAAACGCACCAGTCGGACCCGTGTGACCATGCGTTTTTGCACTTTTCGTGCTGCAGCAAGATCGCAAGGAAACACAGTAGCTGGCCCTTTGAAATATTGGTCCCCGAAATTCGGGAAGTTAATTGTGCAGCTACATGGTGTGTTAGTTGTAGAAGTTGGGTTCAGTAACCCGATAAACGGAAATTTGCTAGTGCGCGAAAAATGTCCTACTAGAAGAGTTAAATTTGAAATCCTTAGTCGCACATGAGTAGGGAACATCCTCATAAAATTTCACCAGCTTTTCTCGTTCTCGTGTTAGCATTTTTGCCGCTAAAACTTTCGCTTGCCTGCGCGTGGGTTCCGAGCGCTTTTAAACAGCTGATGTCGGTCGTACATGAGTAGGGAACATTCCCCT